ATTTATAATCGAATATCGAATACTTATTAATCGGTTTTTCAAATGTGTTTTTCAATGATATCAGAAATTTGTTTTAATAAAAAATCGAACAGATAAATGTTCATTGATCTTAATATTATCGTTGAAAATTTATTTATATTTAGCGTCTTAATTTTACTAGTTTTTGATTTTTTTAAAAATATTTTAGAAATATTTAAAAATTATATTTTTTAAATATTTTAAAAATTAAATTAGCTCTTAACAATTCTCGCTTGCGTCTATTACGAAATTCGCCCGAATGATTGTTTCATTGGCTAAGGAATGAAATCGCAGATCGCGTAGATTTCCTTCTCGAAACCCATGCAGACAACGGAGGAGATGATGAGGATCGCACCGGTTAGACTGGTCGACGTGGGCTTCTCGCCGAACAGGTAAACCTGGATCAGATAGGCCAGGATGATATCTAGCGATCTGGTGACCGACACCTTACCCGCACCCTCAATCTTAAGCGCCTTTGTGACCAACACCTGACCGGTAAGGCCAGTCAACGCCACCAGCAGGATCTGGCTCCAGGTGAACCAATCGTGTGGTAGTCGAAACTTGTGGAGCTCATGACTGATACCGTGTCCGGACACCGTGAAGTAAAAGAACACGGCAGAGGCGAACGACCAACACGATAGATTTAATACCAGGATGGAGTAATGTATCTCCGAACACTTTCTCATGACGACGATGTTGAGCGCCGTGAAGAGAGTGGCCAGGATGGCACACAGATATCCCATAAGATTATAACTCTCGGCACGATGCATCTGGAAGAGAAAAATCATTCTCAAGGATTGGAGAACGAAGACTATGATGAGCGATTTTTTCGAAATCATTATTTGAATTTAATAATAAAAGAACAAGAGCATTTTTTTTTAAACAAAGAATTTGTATATTTGTATAATTTTATTTGACCCTTTGTACGAATTCTTTGTAATTTGAATGACATTTCAGATTATCAATTATTAATATCGCTCTACATAATGAATGAAATTTACTCAGCTTTGTCTGTTGTGCTCGCCCTCGTCAAATTAATTTAAGTCAAATTTGTATTCAGTGATAAAAATTAGATTACCTGGAATAAAAAAGGTGGTCTGGCAACGAGGACAACGCCTGTCAGGAGCGTGCAGACTACCAGTATGCGCAGAACACCGCAAGGTTCTTTTAGGAAGAGGAAAGATAGCGCGATGACGATCACCGGTGAACTGAATATGATCGTGGTAGCATCACCTAAAGGTAATTCTCGAAAGCTATAATACAGCAACGAGAGGGTCATACCACCTACTAGGCCCTGGAAAAAAGAAAAAAAAATGTAAATTATTATAGTGGCGTAGCGATCGCATAAAAAACAGAATTTTTCGTTCTAAAAAATGCTCTTTAAATTATTTGTATTGATGATAGTAGTACATGAAAAGAGTTTATATATTAAAGAATGTGAGCTTTGTTTTATTATCCCTTAATTTTTCTGAAGGGTTTAGCTTTACTAATGCATGTGAACGCAGATATTGCAAATGAATAATATTCGTCGCCGACTTTCCGGCTTAATGCAATTAACATGATACACGGTGTAGAAAAACTGTGGACATAGATATATCCTGCAGATAAGCTCATGCTCATTTACATGCGTAATAATCAGATAAGAAGAGAGTGACTAGTTTTGTAATGACCGACATTTTTCTCATGAAGATAGATTGAGTAATACTAATTATGTTACAAAATTAAAAATTTCAGATCCAGACATCTTAATAAACCCAGAGACTGCATTGTCTTTGCAGATGATTGTATTCGGACGTGCAAACTTTACCTGAAAATGTATGAGTATTCTTTGGCCGGAAGGACCGAAAAGATTGCTGGATGATCTGCAGGCCACGACAGCCATTGCTAGGATCTGCATCAAGGCGCGAATGGCCAGCAAAATCATGGGGTCTACGTTGCGAATCGCTTTGACTAAGGCGGAACTGATGGTGAAGAAAGTGCCTGATATAAACGCCAGGAACACCCCATACCACTTGGTGCCGTCCCGATAGGTTTCGCTATTGTTGGCAAACTGCTCAGTGTAATGATAGGCTGGGTGGATGCTGTTGTAAGAAGCTGTGGACTCTATGCTGAACTTCATCGCGGTATGTATACTGAAACTACTGAAGCGAGAATACACGAAGATGACTGATACTACGTAGTTCAAGCATTACTGTCATCGTCCACTCGTTGACACATCTGCGATTCTGTCTGTCCGCAATTAGCATAACTTAGACGACCAACGGATTATTGCGGATTAATGACGTTAGGAAGATTCGGATGAGTGGAGCGACGACCGTGAGGATAAGAGACTTGCCGATAAAAGAATACACGCTGATAAAAGAATAAAGAGATTGCTTTTTGGAATACACAGAAGAGAGTTGCAAACGTGATTATCCAATTGAGAACGGGATATATATATTTGATCGAAGTCATCTTTATTCGATTGCAATTTTTCAAAGTAATCAAATTAAAAACAATTTTTTTTAGATATGTTAATAACTGACGTGTTTTATTGCTGATTAACATTTGTTTTATTTATGATTAAAATCAATTTATTCCATAAATAACAATTAAACTTTTGTCTTTTATTAGTGTAAAGATATAAATTAATCATGATAGAGAAAAATATTTTCTCTATAATAGAGATTATAATAGAGATTACCCAGCAAACGAGAATAGATTAAAATGGATTGAAATTTTTTTCCATCTGCATATTTTAAATAGCGAATATTTTTTTGATTTAATTGGATTCAATTGGATTTAATTAGATTTAATTGGATGCGATTGAATTAAAAAATTGTATTTGCTATTTAAAATTTTGAATTGAATAGTATTCAATGTGTTTGTGTCCAGAAAAGCTAATATTATTTTTAGATTGAAAAGCACAGAAATATGCTCCATGCAATTCCTATAAATGAATAAAAATATATAAAATTGAAAAATATTCATTTTAACATTCGTGAATCAATACTTTTGAAAATCTGAATCCATTTCAATCCATTCTCATTTGCTGGGGAATCAATAAAAATAAAAATTGCTTGAAAAAAACATGGAAAATACGAGAAATATAATCCAAGATACAAAAAAAGAGAAATTTAAAAATGATAAAATTATAAAATAAAAAATGTCACAATTACAACAACATATATAGTCATATATATAGGACAATTGCTCCAGTACGTCTTAGAAAATTCATCATTAGAGCCCGGATTATCTGTCATATCGATTCGAATTGACCATAGTGCGTTCCTTACTGCCATTCGCCCAAAGTCACATCGGTAATTCTCAGAACTTTAATCCAGGCTCTACTCTCATCATTGGTATTAAAACTTTTTAAAATATGATAAAGCAAATAGTCTAACGTCATTAATGCTCTTGTTAATTTCTTAAACAAGCAAAGTTTAGCATTTCATGAAATACAGGTGCGGGATTAATACAATAGAGCTTCGTTGCTGGAGAAAAATATCCTAAATACTCCGTATTACTATTATCCGGTTCAGTTTCATGATAATACCCGCCGTCGGCGTTAGACTTAACATGGACGTGCGTTCGGTTAAAGTAAGTACCCTGGAAAGTATCAGTATTATTACGAATAATTCACGACATATTATTTTGAAGCTTATAGACATCAATATTATTTTTTTGAGTGGCATTACTTTGTATCTGTCTGCGCTAACAAACGTGGCAAATGCTACCATAGGCGAAGTTTGAACTTCCCTATATTTAATGCAATAATGCATATGATTTTTCATTGTTATCGGAATTCTCCAATTATTTTTTATGTTATGATATATCGTTTTCCCGTTTTTTACTATGAATGTACCGCCGAAACCTGTAAGATCAAAAAATTCATTTGTCTTTTATTTAACGACAAGCTTAATTAATATATCTCTGTGAATTTCTTCTGGTAATGACTAGAAAAGAATAGATAATTATATGTTCAGAGATTCTCTTCCTTTTTTTATAAATTTTGAATACAAAAACAAGAGACACGTATAAAATAAATACAAGGGACGATTTTATAAGCATTTTTTTAGCACAACTAAATATTGAAATAATTTCTCGTAGCTAATATCTTTTTTCTTAGCGACTATTATGTCAGAATTGTCAAGTACATGGATAAATTTAGACAGAGATGTCATAGCATTTAATGTATAGTTATACATTTAGATTTTTTAAAATTCATATTTGTCGAAATAAAAAATTACATACTTTTTAATTTCAGCTATCCAACAACATATATAGTCTTAAAGCTAATTAAATTTGGAGGAACATAGTCTTACATAATATTTCTTTATACATATGTGAATAGTTTACTTCTTACCCATGATTTTTGAAAATTTTGAAAATCGTTTAACTGCGTGCTGCAGTGCAAATATAAAGTCACGACCTGTGCGATGCTTAACATGTACTTTAAGAACTTGTTCTCGCAAACCTTTGCTGACGAAGAAGTTCCCGTATATATTGCAATAAGGATTAGGATCAGTTAAGGATTCCAATACAAATTTTTTCTGTGGCATTTCTATATACGCGAAGTTACTTTTATTTTTGACTGTGGTCATTTCATTCTCTGCTGGTGAGAATGACGCATTCATAATCAGCTACAAAATAATGTTCGTGAGAAATGATTATAAAACAACAAAATCAAATAACAGGTTTAAAGTAGAAACAAAATTGAAAATATTAATTTAATAAGAATAGCTAAGATATAAATTAAAGAAAACACAGAAATTAATGTGTTTAATGTTTCATGGAAATATAAGCAGTACATACTTCGCCTAATGTATTTGACTGCTTTATTTGACCTCCTCCGATGATCAAATTATCATTTAGAATACGATCAAGTTTTTGTAAGATATTTGTGAAGTAAATTTTACTTTTGAAGATTTTATCTTCTGTTAGTAATGGAAAAAGATTCGAGATACCACCGATATCTAAAAGTATTGTATCACCGCATAATCCTATACATATACATATATTATATTTTATTTTACAGAAAATATTAAGGTGCAATATGCATATTATTGAGCCGAAATTCTTCAAGAGAAACAACAAACAACTTCAGTGATTCCTTTATGGATATATTCAGCTCACGATTCGAAGTTCGAAGTTATGCTCGAATTTAGGTACATCTTTATAGATACACAATAAATCTCTCACCTGGTGCTGCGAGATTGAAAGGTTCCTGAGTCAAATCAGGACAATCCACCCATTCGACTGTAACTTCTTCAAAATCTGAACACAACTCATTCTGCAAAACTATTATCATAAAAAAATATATAATAATTTTATTGAAGTACAAATAACAAAAAAGTATAGGAAATCAACATTACATGATATCGTGCTCTTCATATATAATTTACATTAATAATCTACAATTATATTATGTGTATACCTGTAGCTAGTTCAGTTTGTTTAGGTACATCCAAATTTATTGGTATTAGTTTCATAATATACAATCTATAATTTATATAAAGTAGAAAATTTGTATGTATACTGGTAATCGAAATATTTAAGTGAACCAATTATAATCGTGTGTTTAATTCAGTATTGTTCAGAAAAATAGTCACACTGCATACATATATAATTTATTAAAGTATATTTCGCGTATATTCTAATACGACGAAAGAAATGAGTCACATGTTAAATATTTAATACATCATTTATCAATTTATATAATGCAATTAACTCTCACTAAACATATATTGCGATACGATATAATTATGAGTGATATAATTATAATCTGCTTAAGTTCTGATTATATTATATTAATATAGATAATGAAGTGGTTTTTTTTAAACCGCAGAATCATAATAATCACATAAAACACTTTGATAACCGTAATCTTAAAACATGAGAAACAGAAAAAGACAAAATAAAAATATAAGATCATAACAGTCATCGATCAACATTAATAATAATATTTCGGAACAATAATATTATGAAATTTGAAACAATTTTGAGAGATCTTAAATTAATTTTGAATTTGTCGAATTGATGAAATTTTATATTAGATTTGTTTTATGTATGTAAATAGAAAATTAGTTAAGAGTAGTATCTAAACAGAAGGCATCGTGAATTTTATACAATTGCAATCTGCTAAAAAGATCTGCTAAGAGTCGACATAATGAATTTTATCTTATTTTCTATGAATATTTACTTTATTTGTTGTTAAAATCAATTTTTTACACATAGATTAGAATGTCATGTTACATTTGTTATATTATAAAAATATAAATTAAAATTCTTAAAACTTATCAAAATTGAAGCAAGACAATTTTATTAGAATATATTTCTTTATAGTTTATACGTAAATAATTTATCCATGAGTTACGAATCAATTTTACAAGGAAATAGGATTAACTGCATATTTATTTATTAAAATCATATTTATTTTTATGTTTATTTCTTAATCATAAAGAGGAATGTTAAAATATAAATTCGTATAAATTCTAACAAAATATATTATCAACTCAATTAAATTTGTTTAAATTCTATCAAAATATATTATTTTCTTTTGGTGTTCTTTTGCAGCAATTTCAATGGTATAAAAGTGATTTTATAAAATCCAACTTGTAATAATATACATATACATATAACAATATATACAAGGTTAATCTTTCCCAAACTGTAATTTATTGGGCGGTTGATCGACACGATAAAGCGTAGCTGCCACATTGAAGTAGCCTTCGTATTCGATCGTATCTGGCGTTGTATCAATATGATAATGTCCACCCAATCTGTTCTCATCAAAAGCACTATGAAAATGCTGGACCCTGAGATCTAAATCCTGAAAGACAGAAACAACGAGTATTTTAATTCACAATAAAAGAAATGAATAATGGTTTAACATCAATTTATAGACTGTTACTATCATAGTTTGAAGATAATTTTTTCTTATCATACGTATTGAATGTCTCTAAAGCTTACTGTTTCGGCGCTAACAAATGTGCCAACAGCTATCAGAGGAGTCTTCATATCGTAGAAACGTAACCAGTTATTAAGCTGGGTCTCGCTAGTCAATGGAGTATCCGAAAAGGCTGGCATAATATGCTGCTTTACTTTTCCATTCCTTACTTCGAACATGCCACCTAAACCTAAGCTTACAGATATTCGACAATCAGTCAAGTAATGAATTGTTTAACTTTATTATATACGATAGTTCGTGATAGACTTACCTACGAGCTTATCCTCATAATGTTTTGTCAATGCTTTTTGCATACACGATATGAAGTCCAAGTTGCCTGTACGTTTTTTAGCGCGCACCTTTATAACTTTCCCCGGTTTGCCTTCGCACACATACAGATTAGCCAACAATGCAAAAGTTGTTTCATCCTCATTAGCAACTATCCGTTCAAGTATGCACTCTCCATTAGACTTATTTACAAATGCATAATGCGTTCCATTTGCCACTCCCATGCCAAGTCTATATCCTGGCGAGACTTTGTCGTTTACTATGTTCAACTTCATAATAAGCTGAAATAAATATTGTACATATTTACTTTCTCTTTCTTTTAAATTAGAGCAGATTATTCATTCCATTAAGATAATTTAATTACTAATACATACTTCACAATTGCAACCTGTATGTGGCCAAGGTCCAGCTCCTGCGCCAATGACAAGAGTATCATAATTGTAATTTATCTGTCGTAGCAACGACTTAACGTCATAAAATTTGTCTGTTTGGACAGTTGGTAGAAGATATGCTGGACCACCAACTTCCAAAAGAATCGGATTACCACACAAACCTGAAGGAATAAAAAATATGAGATTTGGAGAAAGATCAAGTGTATCTTATACCTGTTGTTTTTCTTATACCTTCTCGATAAAAATTATAAGGCCATCCATTAAAATTAGGACAATCAGCTATCTCGACAGTAGCCTCCGCAAAATTTGCAGTCAATCCTCCTGCTAGGACTATGATAAAAATATTATATAATTATTGCCAGCTGTGATTTCTTATTGCGAGTTCAGAACACTTTATTATTACCATTCATTAGCTCGTCGAGAGGCGGTTGATGCAATGTTCTTGGTGTGATGTTTATTTTGGATGGATCCAGAGGTTCCACGTTTCGATTCATCTTAGAAATCAGTATATTAGCACACAGCAAAAGAATAGCTAAGAATGATGTTGCTGAAAATTGCGCATAATATATATTCGGTTTGTGATAGTGTTATCTAATCACCGGATATCTTGTTTTCTTTCGTAATTTGTAAGATTTCTCAGTCTTCTGAAAAAAGAAACAAATACATGGTCAGGGTATATCAACACAAACTTGCATAGGCTGTGGTCAAAGTCTCGCTACAAATGCTTTGAAGCATTTGAGGGACCAATTAGAAGAAAGAATTTTACAAACTGAGTAATTAAAAAACGCTTCAAAGCGTTTGCAGCATCGTTGACCGTACCCTAAGTCGGTATTCATAATCGATTCTTAAATTCAAGCAGTCTTAAGTCATAATCTTAACGAACCAATCAGAGAGCCGCATTAGTGTCTTACTAAGACATTACTTAAAATAGTCTTGGAATAAGAATCGACTATGAATACTGGCCTTAAATATTAATTTATTATCTCCAGTCTTGAAAAGTGGACAATGTACCCTAAGAAAAGTGGACGTTGCTATGTAATTTACATTCACTTTGTCAGAGGACAGTAGTGTGCGGCAGCATTTTGCGTTTACAGGTTTTGGACTGTCACATCCCTTCTCAGGTTTCTCTTTTTGTGTATTAAGAGTTAAATAAAGTTATTTAAAGAATGTATTTTAAATAAAAAATATAAAAAGTTATTTAGTATTTATTATTTTACAATGGTAGTTTTACAATAACTACAACTTATTTCTTATTTAGTATTTTAAATAAGCTTCTTGAATCTATTTTACATTTTTTATTTTAAATAACTCGTATCAGTTTTTCGATTCCTACGGTTTTATATTTCAAATAAATTTATGAAACTTATTTTATATTTTTTATTTTAAATAAATCGTAACAGTTATTTTATGGCCGAACCGGCATATATACGTAAGTTTAAAGAATTGTTGTAATACAGAATAATTTACAGCAATAATAGTGTCATAAATTTATTTTTTAGTTAAAAAATTATATAATAATTAATAAGACAATATTTAATATTTTTAACCAAAGCTGTATTGAGAGTAACTTGTTTCGCAATGTTAAGAAAATTTGCATGTATCTTTATGTACAGAATGTAATTATCAACTTTTATTTAAATATGAATCATTTAAAAGAATAATAAAAATTGAGACATAATGTTGGAATATCAAAAATATTCCACGCACGCACGCGAACAATTATTAATTACGTTTACAGAGAAGAGAGAACAGCAAATAATATAGGATTGAACAAGTGCTAGAGATGCCACAAAGTAAAGCATAAAATAATGTACGATAATACCCGTTTGTCAAAATTATTCAAAATACGAATAATTGATTAAACGTGAATATTTTTCGTTGAGTATTCGAACGGCGAACAATGAGGGGTGGGGGCGCGCGGCGAAAAGCGAGGAGAAGCGTGGTGGTTGACTACGTCAGCACTTCGGCATTCGCTCGACGACCTTAGAAGGGGACGGTAGTGATACGAGTCGCTCCGAGTGTCGCATTAATCTACGAAAATCTTTTCGAACGCGAATTACCTACGTAACTTTTAGAAATGAATATCAAAAGACTGTCAATTCGCCACCATTGTAAAATAAATTCAGAGCTGTAGATAAAAGGACTGAATCTCTTATTATTGGAAGATATGATTAGAATCAATGGAATGAGCTAGAGATTAATAAAAAAGAGAAATATTTCTTTTATTAATATAAATAAATAATTTCAAAGTTACACTCAATTTTTTATTATATCACGAAAGATGTACGAAGACGAAAAATTAATTAAATTATTAATAACACAAACTATATTAAATGTGAAAGTGTATAGGAATCGCATGAATTGCGTTATTTAGATGAGAGTATTTATTAACGTTGGATTTTGATTCGTGTAGTGATATCGTTCAAAGAATAATCAAGAGTTATACTCAAATGAGAGAAAAATTTTACGTTAAGCAAAAATAATTGTCGTCTGTAATTATCGCGAAATAGTAATAAATTCCGTTTTCTGTCTATCGTAAGATTGCCTAAAACTAAAGTGTATACTAAGAAATAAGTAAGAAATCATTTAAAATAATAAATTTTAAATAACTCTTAAAGAATTTTTGACATCCCGATTTAACATTATATCTCAATTTTTATTGCTCTCTTTGATGATTTACAAATAAAAATTAATAATATGTCATACATTCTTTAAATGAAGATAGATGCAAAAATTGATTTAATTATGAAACAATTTCGACTAAATAAAATAATACATATAAATAGCATGCACATATATTTAAAGATATGTAATTTAAATACAATTTACCTATTATTTTTCCCTGTATTAAGAATGCGGAATA